ACATATCTTTCCATATCTGTTTACGTCAATTTCATCATAAATTATGTTGCTTCGAGTGTTACGTAACACTGATAAAAATGTCTGAAATAATTTTTGCTGATAATAAAACTCTTTTCTGGTTATTCTATACTACAATATAAAAAAATTGATCAAGAAAATGAAATTTATTATTTCTATTATCTTTTTATTAATCTATCGAAAAATAATTTTGTGATTCCATCGATAAAATTTCATTATGAATAGAGACTATTATAAAATTTTAAGCAGGTAAAACTACCGTCTATTGGAGAGACTAAAAATTAGTTCAAACGGAGAAATGTTTCTATTTATAATTCTATCATAAATAATTTTATTATTCTTTCATTAAAATTTCGTTACTAAAAGGGGTTGCTTCAAAAATCCAGGCGACTAATTTTAACTAACGCTAAAGAGGTTGAAATCAAGATTTTTAGAATTTTTTTATCATGAACCACTAATGAAATAAAAATACTAAAATATTTTGAGCATAGCTTGAACTCACTAATATAGATATTATTTAATTTTATATCTGATTATAATCAACTATAGATGTGCGAATATATTATAATCTTAAAATGTTTATTTATTTTAAAATCACAGGTCTTACAATACATCCCCCTCCAAAGAGTTCCGTCCTTGAAACTACGTGTCTGTAAACAAATCCAGGTATTTCTCACAGATTGCACTCTCGATTTCCCAAGTTGTATCACTAGTGGCTTGGTTCTAAATTATTTTTACCAACAAAATTTCCTTATTTCTCAACAGCTTCATCTTTCTATCCTCGATCCTAACAGGAATGACTTCAAATGATAAGTTGTCTTTAAGTTGAATGGTGTCTGGTTTGATTACGTGGGAAGGGTCTGAATGTATTTTCGTAGTTGTGAGCCATGGAACACATCATGTATTCCAGATAGAAAGGGTGGAATTTTTGGATTTATTTGATAGGGCCCAATAAACTTAGGAGTTAACTTCCAAGAGTGGATTGTTCTAACAGTTTCTAATGTCTTCCAAAAGTCCATTAGAAATCCTAATCATTCCACACTGTAGAGTTAAGTGTCCCAACTTTGCGTCTAGGTGCATGCCTCTGAATGTTTCCTATAACTCTTGTTGTTTGGCCATCAGTGATGTTGTTGCAAGGACACCCTTCCTACTCAATGCATCTGCTACCAGGTGTGCTTTTCCTAGGTGATATTGTAATGTGAAATCGCAGTCCTTCAAGTTTTTCATCCATCACCTCTGTCTCATGTTTAATTCCTTTTGGTCAAACAAATACTTTAAACTCTTATGATCGCTAAACACTGTGAATGTACATCCATAAAGATAATGGCGCCAAATCTTTAGGGTAAAAACAACTACTTCAAGCTCCAAATCATGAGTAGGATAATTCCTTTTGCGAGTCTTCAATTGTCTTGAAGCATATACTACCACCTTCCTATGTTGCATCAACGCACATCCTAATCCTTGATGAGATGCATCATAATAAACTTTATATGGTTCCTCAGGTTGTGGCAGAATATATATAGAAGACAGCGTAAGTTTCTTCTTTAACAATTGAAAATTAGCTTCACATTTCTCAGCCCAAGCAAAAGGTTGATCCTTTCTAGTTACTTGAGTCAATGGGGATGGTATCTTTGCAAATCCTTCAATGAACCATCGATAGCATCTAACTAATCCTACGAAACTTTTTATGTCACTGACCGTCTGAGGCTGATCCCATGCAAGCACAATCTCAATATTTGCTGGATTGACAAAAATGCCTTCCTTTGATATGACATGTCCCAAGAAAATTACCCTTTTTAGCCAGAATTCACATTTGGATGGATTAACATACAACTTCTTTTCACGTAAAAATTTGTAGCACTTGACGTAGATGCTCTTTGTGTTCCATTTTACTTCGAGAGTAAACAAGAATATCATTAATGAATACAACCACGAATTTATCGAAAAATGAGTGGAAATTTTGGTTCATATAATCCATGAAAATAGTGGGCGCATTAGTCACTCTAAATGGCATGACTATATACTCATAATGTCCATAACGAGTCCTGGATGCAGTCTTTCGTATGTCTTCTTCTCTTACCCGAATTTGATGATAGCAAGAATTCAAACCAATCTTAGAAAATACAAATGCTCATGTAAATTGGTCCATAAAGTCATTAATACAAGGTAAGGGATATCAATATTTTGCGGTCGCCTTGTTAAGTTGTCTGTAGTCCACACATAGTTGAGAACACCCATCCTTCTTCTTTTCCAAGAGTATTGGAGCTCCCCATGGGGAAACACTTTGGCTAATGAGTCCTTTCTCCATCAAGTCTTACAATTGTTATTTAAAATCTTGGAGTTCTTTTGGCTCCATCCGATATGGTGCAATGGAAATGGGTCCAATTCTCGGGTGTAAGTCAATGAAGAATTCAATGTCTCTTACAGGTGGTAAACAGGGAATCTCATTGGGAAACACATCATGAAAGTATTGAGTAAATAACATGTCTTCAATCTTAAATTTAGCAATCACCTCCTCACTAGTAAGTATTGAAATGTTAAAGGCTCCATTCTTTAGAGAAACTTTGAGTTGGTTAGCAGATAGGTATTTAACAACCCCCGTCTCAGGAAAAATGACCAACTTTTGAGCATAATCTAATCTATTCTGAGAATAATCTCGAGAGATTGTAGGGGTAAACATATTAGATTTACTAGAAATTATCTCTCTTGAACAACTACTTTACATAATAAGCATGCAGTGTTCACAGTTGGAACCTTGGCAGGGGTAAACACTACCAAGTCAAAAGGTAGTGGGGTTACTATCATTTTTAATCGATCAACGCAGTTCTTGGATATGAATAAATGTGTTGCTCTAAAATAAAAAAGTGCAGTTAAAATGGTACCTTCAATTTCACAATTCCCTTAGATTAAGTTGTTGGACGAAGATCTTCCCTCTGCATCCATGCAATACACTCTCCCTTGAGCACTTGGCCGGACAATTCGGGGAGTATTAACAATTAACTCTGCCTTTGGAGCTTTTCAATCCTTAGCCATATGTCCCCTTTTGTTGCATTTGAAACTGATAGAACCCATATTAGGACATTCATTCGCATAATGCCCACCCTCACCACATTGGTAACAATGTACCCCTGAGGTAGCTTAAGTTCCTCCTCCTTTAGTGTTATGGTTATCTGTTTGTTGAGATCCTTGATTGTTATAGTGTGGACGTTCATATGGCCTGATCTGTTGTTTACTACGTCCATGATTCTGAAAATTTTGACGATTAAGTCCTCTAGAGTTCTGGATTGCCCTGTGATCCGCCCTCCTATTTTCATTTCCTCCACCTCTCTGCATTTCTCCACCAATGGTTGAAAGCGTTGTATCCCCAGTGGCACCACCGAATCTTGTAGTTCGTACTTGAGTCCTTCTTGAAAACGGTGACACATGTAAACTTCATCCACTTCCTCCCTAAAGAATAAAAGATAATTGGATAAAATTTCAAACTTGGCGGCATGCTCATCTAGAGTCATACTTCCTTGACGAAGTTTCATAAAATCGGCTCCTAATCCTCCCACTTATTGGAAAGTACTTGTCTAAGAATTTTGTCTTAAAGGCTTCCCAATTTACTTTTTCCTTTGCACCCTCCATCATCAATCTAGTGCTTCTCCACCAATACTCTGCATTGCCTAGGAGAAGATATGTGACATACAACACCTTTTCTCCTGGTGGATAATTGATTACCTCAAAGATCTTTTCAATTTCTTGTAACCATAAGTCATCCTTCTCAGGAATAACATCCCCTTGAAATTTAGGTGGATCGTGGTGGCGGAAATCAATCAATCCTCTTAATTCCCCAGCTCGTACTTCTCTGTCCTGCTTCTCCAAATCTCGAGGGTTCTTAGCGGTAGTTTGAGAGGTGACAATAGCTGCCATATTAGTCATAGCTTGGACCATTTGATCCACCTGATAGTTGTTGATCCCATTGTTAGTATTGTCACATCTTGGAGGCATATCTTTCCTACAAAACCAACACCCAATTGTAATTCTCATTACTTGTTTCAGAAGAATTTCCAATATCTCACTTCCAAATCGTGAGTGGATATCAAAATTTAATGATCCCAAAAATGTGGATATAAGCTCTAAAACTCTACCTGACATATGATCAGCTCAGTATATTAATCTTACAATCCCCAAGAAGATTAAACCTAAGCTATGATACCACAATGTAACACCCCTATTTTTATACAGCGGGAGTGTATTTTTAAAAGATACTATTTCTATAAATGATCAATTAAAGGTTTTCCTTGTACAAAAATACTGCTATATATATTTTTTAATATTTTGTATCAAAATTTATTTTAAGAGCAAAGCATTTTTTTATGAAAGAAATTAATAAATAGGATTAGAACATAATAACATACTATACATATAGATGACTAAGCGTCATAAGACATAAATTACTGATAACCGATAATCAACAAAAATGAGTAAAAGTCCTCGGCAGACACTCGCGTAGAAGAACTGCCCCAAGGAGAAAATTTCTAACCATGCATAGTAAAAGTCATATGGCACCTTCCATCTAGTACTAAAATACTCCTACCAACAACATTCTCCATTCCCTAGCTAAGTCGGTCGAAACCTAACGACAACCACAATACCAACCCGCCCCAGCTCCACACAATCCACTACAAGCGCTCACCAGGGTGTGGTCGGAGCCATCCTCATCATATCTACTCTCATAATCATGCTCTGAGGGATTATAAGTGTCGTTGTCCTCTGCCTCATCTACGTCCAGCTCCCACTACGGCACACGTGTCGAAGAAATGTTAGGAAGCTCGTCTATGGGAGAGATGTCATGAGTGAACGTCGAGGGAAGTCCTAATGAAATATCTAAGTCTAGAGGAGGCATGGATAAATCATGAAATAATGGCTCCACTTCCACGAATGGGGCGTATGCAGAAATGCAAAAATGCAGAGAAACATAAGCCAGTAGACCAAAAACGATGAGGCAAATTTTGGGGTGCTACAGTGAGAAATACCACATTGATTTTGATCTGGATACTTTCCAACCTATTGGTCAGTATGCTGCAAAGTTTAAGAGTTATTTGTTATTCATTGCACGTAGCCAGGTTAATTTAAATGAAAAGAAATGGGAAAAAATAAGCAAAAATATGAAGGGCGTCATATGGAATGATATTACGGTATGTAATTTTAATTAATTCTTTATAATTTATTTTCAATAATTCTTTAAATTACTAACACTTCTCATGTTTTGTAGGATAAGTTCACTTGCCCCACTGATGATAAATTTAGGAAGCATTGGTTTGTTTATATGGGGGAACGATTGAAGCAATTTAAGACATTGTCTATATATTTTGGAAAGGCGATAAGAATGGAAATACAATGTCGTTTGAAAAGTATACATTCATCAAACAAGAAGATTGGGATTTGTTTGTCGAGACTCGAAGAAAAGAATATTTTCAAGTTATTTATATTTAAATAGTTATTTTTGTTATCTAAATTGATTTGGTTTTGACATTTAATTTAATGTTATTTGTTTGTAATAGGAGAAAAGGCTAAAAGGAAAGATGCAAGCATCAAAGAATATCCATCCTCATATTTTATCTCATGGTGGTTATGAAAAGCTTAGGGCAAACATAATGAAAGAGAGGATGAAATAATTGTTTGAAGAGGCCAACGATGATAAAAGTTTAACAGGTGATCCTCTAGAAATAAAACAATATGAGGCATGGTTGATGGCTCGGCAGAAGCCATCTGAAGATTTTTCATCTAAGGCAACAAATATAGTAGCTTCTATAATTGTAAGTAATAAAAAATTCTTTATAAATTTGAATCTTATTTATAACTTAGTAGTCATTTTATATCATGTGTATATGTATTTTATCATTTTAGGGTGACTTAGTGGAAAAAAGTACACAAGGTGATATTATTTTTGAAGGACAGGAGGGTGTATTGACTGTTGCCCTTGGAACAAATGAACACCCTGGTCGGATTCACACTACTATAAGGGGTGTGGGTTTTAAGAAATTCTTTGGAAAAAATTCACGCCTCATCTCAGTAGGTGTCTCTCAAGATGACATTCTAGCCTTGCAGAAAAGACCGAATGCAAATTTCCAACATAAATTACAAAAAGATCTCAAACAATAAAGAATAGAGCTCCAACAGAAAATGAAAAAAGAGATGAAAGAAGAGAGAGTTTAATTCTTACAAGAGATGTAATTGGAGAACTACCCTAAGAGGACTAAATAGGTCTTTTTAAAAGAGGTGTGGGTAATTTTATTTAATTAATCGATTAAAAATTTACAAATTTTATAATTTAATTAATGTTTACTTTTTTTTACAGAATGTGCCATCTCTGGGTACGAGCATTAACGAAAGTTTCTCTAAGGTTTTGACTACTGAAAATGTAATAAAAAACATTGGTGCTTCTGAAGATTACTTATAAAAGATTGAAGATCTCAAGGAAGATTCCTTTTCACTAGATGTGATTCATGAAACAAGTTAATCGTCTATTGATAGGGTCGACTTGAATGAATTAATTGCTGGTACTAAATGGCTCTCCACATCTATCTTGTTTGTATGGTGCTCGTAAGTATCTTATTATATTTTTAGTTATTTTTTCTATATATCGTTTATAATTAACATTTCTTTTAATAACTCAGATATCTACATCACACCTCCAAGAATGTCAACAAACTATTTGGGTTTCTTGATCCACATAGGAAGTTAATTTCTACCAGGTCGACCGAAGTAATCCAATCATACATACAAAATAAGTTGGATGGCGAGTCAAAAAAGGGTTACTCAGGGCCATTGCTAAAATTATAAGTACATGTTTCCTTCAAGGTTTTATAGTTATTTTTATATGTTATTTTGTAGTAATTGAACTTTAGTGATTCTAACACTTTTGTTTTGGAAGTACAACAATCATTGGCAGTTGTTTGTAATTTGTCTTAAAGATAATGATATATTTTGGTTTTGTTCATTAAACAAATATCTCAAGAAAAATATTAAGGTCATACTTAAGGGGTAAGAAGCCTAAATCAAGAAATATCATTTATACTTAATTTTTGTACCTTTTAACTTTATATTTATAACTTACTTCTGCTACAATTTTTCTTATCAGAGCTGTAGAAGGATGTCATCTATTAAGAGGTATTAAGAATAAGAAGTCTAGTTGAAAGATTGTCAAGGAGTTGTTTTGAACTACCCATATTTCTTTACCATAGTTGTACTACCCATATTTCTGCTGCAATTTGTTTTACCAAAGATGCACATTCAATGGTTAATATTCTATACTACCCATATTTTTACTGCAATTTGTTTTACCACAACTACATATTTAATGATTAATGTTCTGTACCACCCATATTTAATGGTTAATGATTAATGTTTTGTATTACTCATATTTTTGTTGTATTTATAGTGCTAAATTCATAGTTTGAATAGGTAAAATATGTATATAGGCTCCGACACAAATATCCCGCTGTGGGATAAGACTGCATAATGGCTTTTTAATTTCAAAACCTCCCCCAAGAGAATGCTCATTTGGATCAACTTAGTGTTTCCACATTATAAACTTAAGGGACAAATTCATCCGCAATTAATGAAATTCATCACACGCCTTTGTTTCCTTAGGTAACACAGGGGATATTAGGATATGGAAAGTTGAAAACAACAGATAATATTAAGTTAAAAGTACATATCGAGCGTGTGATTATGAACTAAACATTAAAATTGGCAAAAGATAAGACCTTATTTGGCGTATCCAGATGCCTCATAAGTTTAATAATTTGTTATGGTATACTTATCGGTGTTGCTTGCCTACTAGACTCGCTTGGGGCAGACTATCCAGCAGAGGTTGAGCCTGCAAACTACAGATAACTGCGGAAGCAGTAATATAGAAATTGCATTGTTATTCTGCACATTCTTGATGAAGATCAGATCATAAAAATTCTCTATATTAGAGCAACAAATCTCGTTTTAGCTGTAGCTATGAATTTTGACTAAAAAAAGTCGTTGATTATTTCCATAACAATAATAAGAATAATATAACTGCATTTGGTGTTATAAGATGTGATTATGCTTACTTATTTCCTTCCTTTCTACTAGCAGCTCATCTAGTTATCTAGGGGAAGCAGTAATTTAGAAATTGCATTATTATTCTGCAGTTTCTTGATGAAGATCAGACCGTAAAATTTGCTATATTTGGGAAACAAATTTCGATTTAGCCGTAGTTATGAATTTTGACTCCAAAAAGTCATTGATTATTTCCATAACAATAGTAAGAATAATATAACTGTATTTGGGGTTATAAGATGTGATTGTACTTGTATATTTCCTTCTTTTCTACTAGCCGCTCTTGTACTTTTACATTGTGCTAAAGACTTAATATTTTTTAGTTCGTTTTTATGACTTAATTTTCAAATTATATTTGGAAATTAACATTGTAGTTGATGGATAGACTCTAGTACAAGGATCACTTGATTAAAATAATTTTTTTTTTATTTCTCATTGATTGTACAATTATCAATATTGTGATCGTTATGTAACGCAATTAATAATAATCTTTTCCATTTGTTGTAGTTATCTAATTCACATCACCTCCAAAACTTCTTCCATACAAGTTCGTTAGTTCCAAATTTCTATACAACATGAAATGAAATGACTTAACGTATTAAAGATACCATATTTGATTTAGATCACCTGTAGAACTTCTTCCTTACAATATTTGGAAATTAACATTGTAGTTGATGAATATTACCTCATTTCAAGGCCACTTATAATTACAATATTCTTTTCTTTTTTCTGACAGCTATCATACATTTGTTGGTGTCTTATTGTCAACACATCCTCAATATAACGGACGGGCATGTGGATATTATATCATGAAGACTATGTTTGACATCGTTGATACTTCGATTGTTGAAAGATTTAATGATGTTGGATAAGTTAAAATATTTTTGTATTGCATGTATTTATTGAAAAAAATATAAATTACTTTTTTAACATTTAGTTGTTTTAATTATTATCTGTAAACTTGTAGATTGTCACAAACACCTCATCCTATGAAAAAGATACAATTGACCACATGCTACAACTTTGGACTCAATACTTTTTGGAAATGGCCGAAGAGAAAAAGGTTGCAGAGCAAATGCAAATGGCTGAAGAACATGAGGACCAAGAAGACATATAAATATTTGACAAAACCAGAGCATAGGAGAAAAATATATATATATATATATATATATATATATATATATATATATATATATATATATATATATATATATATATATATATATATATATATATATATATATATATATATATATATATATATAAAGTTTTTGTTGATATGATTTTGATGTACGACTTTATGCTATTAGATAATATGATTTTGAAAAGATTTATATATACAAAGATGTTAGGTTATGTTTGTTTTGGTTGTGCTTTTTGTTTACTGAATGTTTAGCTGTATACAAAAAGATTTGTTTAAATGAAATAAGGTCTAAATTAAATTAAAAATAATATAATTACGAAACAAAAACAAACATATTCTATTTAAAGAAAATAGGGTGTAAACATGCCAACATCCATAGTAAACCGGGTGTAATATACCGCATTTTTACACTCTATTTTCTTTAAATAGGGTTTAAAGTAAACACTGCTCATTTTATATCTGATATTTATCAAATGGGGTGTAAATCCGTTTGATTTAAATGCAATTATTTAAACATTTACACCCGTTTTCTATAAAAAAAATGAATTATATATATATATATATATATATATATATATATATATATATATATATATATATATATATATATATATATATATATATATATATATATATATATATATATATATATATATATATATATATATATATATATATATATATATATATATATATATATATATATATATATATATAGCCATTTTCTATATAAAAAAAGGGTAATATGAAATTTATTTACTCCTGTTTTCGACAAAAAACGGTGTAATATAACTTTTATATATATATATATATATATATATATATATATATATATATATATATATATATATATATATATATATATATATATATATATATATATATATATATATATATATATATAGCCATTTTCTATATAAAAAAAGGGTAATATGAAATTTATTTACTCCTGTTTTCGACAAAAAACAGTGTAATATAACTTTTATTTTACACTCATTTTAAAACAGGTGTAAATTTGTCAAATATTTCTTACCCATTGAATTCACACCCTATAATAACGGGTGTTAAATGTAAAAAAAAAAAAAACAAGTGCAAATTACCCTTTCTCCACTATTGGTGATTCCCTTTTTCATATTGATGAGGTTTTACCTTTTTGTCTTAAAGCTTGCATGTATACCTTTGAGGAACAAAATTTTCCTCATAGGGTGCTTTCAACCTTTAAATCCAGTATGACTTTATTAGGTATGTATTTTTTATGAATTTTTGCAAACATGAGTATTTTTGAAGAAAGAGGTGTCTGTGAATTTCTTTATTGACCCCTATGATGAAAGATGGAAACACTTACCAATGAATGTGCCGGTGTATGAAACAATTACCAACAAATGTTCCGGTGTATGGTGGATATGTGAGAAACATGCATGTGCGGACTTAATTTAGGTCTCTCTACTTGTTGGACTAAGGAATAAAGGTTTTATTCTATGACAAACATCCCTCAAAGTTACTTCCAGTAAAGTAGCCAAACATAAAAATATGTGTTTTGACAATTAACATTCTTTCATATAATCTGCATTTGACACTTTTTACTTCCTAATATTATAGGTAATCAATTTTTAGAAAGAGTCCAAAGACTAATACATAACAATAAATGTTGTGTCTCTTAAAATTATGGATGTGATTTTTAAGAGAATTGATTTTGCTACTTTAATGTCACATCTTAATATTTATTTCCCTTTCATTCCATTGTAACCTTATTTCTTTCCTAACTAAGAACACATACTTACATATTACATATTACGTATGATGAGCAGGCCAAACTGATAGGTATTAAGTTGATAAATTAAAACAAGGATAAATCAAAACAATTTAAATTACTGGACTTCCATGTGTTTTTTACATGTCAATTGACTCAATATTTCATATAAAA